CCGCATGAATAAGGTTTGATCGATACAAATGTTAACCTCGATAAAATGTTACACAATGATACGAATGTGTATCTGCATCTACATATTAAGTTCTGATACTATGTGCATGAGCTGCATCCGAGCAATGACTAACTGCATTCGTATAATTCGTAATGACTAATGATAATGTAGTCTTGGATTTTTCTAATTCAGCTGGATAAAGATATTTATTTTTACATAAACATGTCTATAAACATATGTCAGACATACAATAATCGGAACTGTAAATAAATGTGTCTTTTACTAAGTGCTTAAACAAAATTCCTGTTATGTGTTACCATATGGGTCACTTAATGGGATTGATGGTGAAAATGGGCACAAGTTTCTCAGCATTGCAAACATATTTTTTGACATTACAATGTAATGTCTTGTCATGAATTAACGTAAAAACAGTGTCACGTAACGTACTGGTTTTAATGAATTTTGTGACTACGCAAAAGCTGTCTTGTTAAATCAGTTCATTTTTTGTACCAACATCATTATCTTTTATCTGGTATCGGGAGGGATCTGCATACATAATTTTAATCAGGGGTGCTGCGACCTTGACGTGGACATTTTCGAGGGTTCCAAAATAGGGTTGTAAGTCAGTGGGATGAATAAAGACCAGATCTGCAATATCAACCCCTATTTGATCGATAGAGATGCGCTTTTGCCGGGTGCAGTTTGAGCCAATACTTCTGACAGTTGTAAATGGAATGTCGGTACCAAAGTTTGGACTTTGATGAAGTAAGATATATTTCAGCTTTTAATGCAAGATAGAACTTGAACATTATGTGTAGGAATCAATTATCTAAGCTTTGTTCAGGCAAAAGTGTTGTTTTTAACTTAATTTCATTGATGAACTAAAGACATGCCATATTTGTAAAGTTTTATTTAACTTTAGTCTTCATACCTACATACTTATCGTATTTGCAACATATTGCAACAAATATAAGCTTAAATAATATCAATAAAGTATACTTATTTACTGACTGTAAAGCATAATAATTATGAGTTTGTACCTAAGTAGGTACACTACACTAATGTAAAAACTGTAATTGACTGCAAATGCATTTATATTTTAGTCTCTAAATAAAGAGAAAAAAGTCTAGCTTGGAGATAACAAGATTACAACATCTAAATTCGCAGTGCCCCAGTCCAAGGATCCGTTTCGTGAATGAGAGCAAAGCGCAACTCGAGAAAAGTTGGCCAGACAAAGGGTAAGCCAAAGTGGTCGTTATGGGAACACTGGGATTGCCCAGACCTAGCCGTGGGATCGATCGGGTCTAAAGGTCTGGGATGTGCACAATAGACTAGGTTTTTTACTGCGGACCACTAAAACGGTCGGTCAAGGCCATTCGCGGTAAATTATGTATCCCTGATAATTTTGTCGGCGTTATCGGCCATTGAGTTTCCTAATCAAAATAGGTATTGGGCTAGATTGCTTTTTCATTGGTTTATTTGACCGCGAATATAACTTTGGTGAACAGAAGGAACATTATTTCGATATAAGTAGGTACTCAATGTACTCAATCATTATTTCCACCATGAACTTAAAACTTAAACAGTGGGGCATGGCAATACGTATAGTGTAAAAAGTTAACTTTTTAACTCGTAAACACCTAAATCGCTGGATATTAAATGTATGTTTCCAACAAGGTCCGATTCGACCAAACTTTTATCCGAGAATAACTGCTGGTATAACTGAGTTTAAATGACACATTGACAGTTTCATTAAGTATGAAAAATATGTCAAACTGTCGATTTTTTCTGAGATTAATATTTACTCTTGTTTGGTCGAATCCACCCTAAAGAAACAATTAGACCAAAGAGGTAAAGATTTAACTGCATGTAGGTAACTGAATATGCTGAAATGTGCTACGAGAAATGCCGCGTTGCTACGAATAGGTTAGTGCGGCACGTATAGTTCCAAAATACTGGACTGTCCTGTCGATGACATTGACAGTGGGGCGCCACCGTCAATACCGGATCGCTGGTTCAGATTTTTGCCATGTTGGAAACCATATAGTTGAACGATAGTAGCGCCCCCCTGTCATTGAGTTTGGCGGGACAGTTCAGCGTGGGTCATCTATAACGTGCCGTTGTGCCGAAGCTTAATAAATATTTAACCGCGGCTGACGCTTGTTCCGCAACACGCTGATTCAGAAATGAGGTCTCTAAGCTATTTAAATTGAATTGAGAATTTGTAACTTACAGCTCCATTCATAGATCGAGGATTTGTAAACAAACGTCTAGTTTTAGTTTGTATCTACCTAATTGTTTATTCATTCATAACAAACGATAAAACTCACAACAAATCACAGAATTGCCACTATTTATCACTTATTTGCCGTAAGCAATTCCCGGTGTTTTTTGTCACCCAATATTGTCGAACTCTCCAGAACAAAGGAGTTCTTTTTATCCCGTTATGATATCAGATTCCCAAGGGGAAAGTGCCTAAAAAGAATAAGGGTAAGACAGCGGCTGACTGCTGACAAACTTTCGGATATATTGAAATGAGGTCTCTAAGCTATTTAAATTGAATTGAGAATTTGTAACTTACAGCTCCATTCATAGATCGAGGATTTGTAAACAAACGTCTAGTTTTAGTTTGTATCTACCTAATTGTTTATTCATTCATAACAAACGATAAAACTCACAACAAATCACAGAATTGCCACTATTTATCACTTATTTGCCGTAAGCAATTCCCGATGTTTTTTGTCACCCAATATTTGTCGAACTCTCCAGAACAAAGGAGTTCTTTTTATCCCGTTATGATATCAGATTCCCAAGGGGAAAGTGCCTAAAAAGAATAAGGGTAAGACAGCGGCTGACTGCTGACAAACTTTCGGATATAAACAAACTAACGCAAGAAAAATGCGTCATAACGTCAGAGCGAGAGCGTAGTAGGCATACCTAAGCTACTTTTGTGATAATTTCTATCATCGTTATCAACATATAATGAATTAAAGAAACATTACTACATTAATAAGAAGAATAGCTGCTACGAAAACGAATATTACGAAACAATCTATCGAGATAACGATAAATAAATCGAATCATATCTGCTAGTCGGCCCACATTTATTTATTTATTTGCCATCAACGCTGTAGCGTCCGTAGGGAATACACACGTTGGCCGACGAAATGTCTGGAACGGACTCTATATGCTTTAGGTCAGTATTAACGTTACCCGCTTTTAAAAAGAACTATATTGATAGCGGGTATTGAGTTAGTAGGTAAAGTGTTAAAAGACGTAATAACAGAAAACTTTGGGTGCAGTATCTGTACAGTACTTGAAACATAAGATTTACATTAAGCGATTTACATTTGCGTATTAGTCGTTCATAATAATTTATTAATTATTATTAATAATTAATAATTAGTGTTTAGCAGACTTTTTTGGACCCAGACCGGAATCCAGATTATCCGAGTGACTTTGACTTAATGAGGTTGAAAAGCCTGTAATAAGTAGTAGGCTTAGATTAATAAAGCCATGATGGATAGTCTTCATACAAACGCTTCGTCAAAAGTGAGGCTAAAATCTTGTCATTACTGTTTCTTTACTGATTTTTTCGAAAGTGAGAGATCCACATTTATTGTAATAACATATTATTATTTGTTATTTAATAGGACATTTAATTAAAACAATAAAGTTTCAAAAATTGCCTCACTTTTCGTGCGCACTATCTATCTAGGTTTTATATGGTAGTTGATATAAAACGCCGTGTTTGATAAACCTCCAACAGCTATTCAACAGGGATTCCACTAAACTTAGACGCGAAAGAAATTAGACTATTTTAGGGATTAGGATGAGAGATGAGTGTACCAGACCGAAAACTCGTAAAGTGTCATCCCTAACGCTTTGTTTGACGCAAAAGATACCTCTACATTTCTTTTACGTGTTAGAGAAACGGCACCGGGAAGATCGTAAAAGCTCTATAATGCTTTTACTGCAGTCTTGAAGTCCCAGTTTTTACATCCCTGGGTTTTTAGGTTAAACGTCTCCAACAAAAAGTCTGCAGTGGCCAGCGCACTTACAAATACTAAGTTCGCTGACAATATTTTTACTGTCAGAGCCTGACCTGAATTTGTAAGATGCTCTGGAAAATGTCCGCAACGTTACTAAGTAATAATTTTCTTCCGAGATTGTTATTGCTGCAGTTATTCCCGGGCCTCAGATTTTCAGCAGTTTGAATATGTTTTAAGTAGAGTTTTATAGCTCTTAAAATAACTTTTGTTTAGTTAGGTATACATACGTTCCCAATGAAAGGCAAATATTTCTCCCTTTTGCAAAACGAAATATCATTACCCTAACGGGAACCGGCGCATTCGTCTGAATAGAATAAGGATCAAAATAGACTTTTGATCTTTTAAATTATTATTTAAATACGTAGATGAAACTACCTAACTAGTGTTCTTTTCACTATCTTTTTCATATTTTTTCAACTTTACAGTCTTGTTCTTATTATAGCTTTGTTCTAACTGGTTCACATTGATTTATACTTGCTTACCTATATTAATTAGTATTTGCGATTGTGACTGATGTAGATAGGTATTAAATGTGATTCAATTGTTCATGCTTGCTCAATCGTAACATTACCGAAAACTAATCGTGTTAGTGTGGGCGACAGATCAATCGAATCGCTTCCAGTTGTCTGGCCCTAGGCATTCTCCGTATGTAGAGTCAATAATAAAAATGCGTACTAATACGTAGAATGCTACATTGCAAATTGTATGTAGAAGCCGTAATGAGGGAAGGTCAAACACAATACTCTTCGCCAATTAGAGGATTAACCGTATGTTAGCCGACAAAGGGAAACGATGATTTATAGCGCGCTTTGTCATAATGCAGCAACCCCAGTCCAGGTGTATGCGGCTCGTACTTTTGTAGAACGATTAAATGTGCTATTGTAGTCAAATGAAAAGCTCTCTGGGCGTACATGTCATTTGAAAGAGATAAAAAAGGTATACCTTTGATCGGCGAGCCCTGTGTGCGAACGCCGGCGTCCGTGGCGTAGCCCCCGGTGGTTGTGTAGAGTAGTAGGGTGTTAGAAGCGCCGAGGAGGGCTCCTGGCCGCGAGGGGCCGGCGTTGCTTCGCGTAGCGAGCGATGGGCGCGCGTGTGCCTCGGGGTCGGTTTGCCGGCGGAGTGGGCCGTAGCCCGCGCGTGTCGCCGCTGCGCGCGCCTGCACCACCGCGCCTGCGCCCTCGGCCCGCGATCCCACTAGTCAGCCACGCTTCATGTCATATACTCAGCATTTGCATAAACACCAAGGTGAGCTTTTCCCACTATTATAATAGTTCCTGTTTTTGAGCACGAGATGCACTAAGTTTGACGCATTTTTTGGAAAACACAGCATGCGTGTGATACCCGAAGATAAAGCTGTGTATCTGCAATGGTGTTTCATTTATTTACAAGCGTGTGTCAGATTTTAATTCTGTCTTTTGTGGATTAATAGCCTAGAAAAAGTGTTTTGTTGCTATGTAGGTACCTACTCCTCGAATNCATCGAATTTACTTTAATTATTTTTATTGTGTGGGTAACTAGGTAGGCAGGTGACGGAATGCGAGACCGGTGGGGCAGGGTGTCGGCATCAGCTGTTTAGTGTAGGTTACCGCTAGGGTGGTATCGATTGGCGCCACTTTCTCTGTTAGGCGCGAAATGTTCTTTGTTTTGGCGACGTTCCAGCAATGGCGTCTGTCGTCCTGTTACTAAGCACACGCTATTCCCGCTAATAACTCATGTGTACATTAAATGGCACTTATAACATGAGCTTTGTTCATATTAGATATAGGTCAAGGGCGAAAGCCTGCGGTAGGTTCTACCTATTTGTAAAAAAGCATTGTAATATCCCGATTATTGTATGACTTGCGGGAACAGAATTAGATGAACAATAGAGACTTATAAGCCACAATCGAACATTGGTCGCAGTGGTAAATAGAAATAGACAAGTCTTTATTTGCATGAAAACGTTGATTAAAACTTTTAATGGAACTTTGGTATTATCAATCACGGATAACGAATTACCGGTCATAATGTGTCCCTAAATACTTTGGTTGACTTAGCTCTACTACTTAATACCCCTATTGCACACATGCCGAGATCTAAAAGTACGAAGTAGGTTTAATGTAAATGATAGACCTTAGACTGACACCCTGCCAAGTTTTTGTCGATCACTCGTGACGAGAAACCCACATAATCCTGTGTCCCTCATCAGGGTAAAGGGTGTGCAAAACATTTTCTAAAGTGCAAAAAAGAACCATAATAAAATCAATGACGATCGTAAATTATTTGCGGGGGTTATCGCGTGAATGCGGCGGTGATCGGTCACGCGATAACTGCTGTCAACTTGAAAACTTTCAATTTTTTGATTACAAACGCCTAAGGGTAGGCGAGGTGTTGGAAGAATAAATCTTTTTAAAGTTAGTGTTTAGTGATCGTAATTTATAAGCTCGGTACCTATCTAAGTGGTAGGTAATCTTAAGTGCATAGTTGATAATCTGATTGATACACAGATCTACTATTTCGACATTCTGGTGAAGAATTCTGTGGAGTGATACTGTACTTAAAGTACTAGAATTAACTGGTGTTATTTTTTTATTCTAAAGAGATCTAGAATAAAAGGCTTCGAGTTTAAGCTTCGCATTATCGGGTGAACAACTTATTGCTGGACCCGACAGCATCTTGAAACTTGCTTGCAAAATACTCTGTTGACAAAATCCGTAAAAATGCAATAAAAGTAACCTGCCCAAAATATTTTCATGTAAATTTTCCGGCAGGAAATGCATTAAACTAATTAGCCCGGGGGGACCAGTTGGTTATGTGAGGCTCGGTCACCTCCTTCTGCGAGGAGGTCATCGCTCAGAAGGAGGCAGCGAAGCGCGAGCGGGCGAACGATCCTCTCGCCCTATCGCTCCGCAGGCGGAGAAGGGGGTGGAGAAGGCGGTTGTACGACCGTTCAACTCTCCCCTCAGGTGGCGGCCAGCAGGCCGGGGTTGCGGGGGAACCTTTGCCACCTCCGTCTGACAGGAACGGCTTGGCGTTTCGGGCCATTCCCGTCTAGGGTCCGCCGTGTAGGTGGGCTGTCGCCGGTGGTGTCACGGAAGTCTAAGAGACGCCCCCACTCGGGCGATGACGGAACTCCGCGGAGGTTTTAGTGGGTATACCCCGTCCTTATCAGGATGGGGCAGCGCCCTTCTCAGGGCGCCGGGAGTCCCACACACCACCCTGTCCCCCGGCAGTGGTGACGGTGCGCAAAGCATTTCCTCCTCCAAAAAAAAGGCTTTCCCTGCTGGATCTCCTGGGCTATTTTGTGCCTACTATGTCGTAGGCGTCGGCGTTAACTCTTCACGCCATAACTCTACATACCTACACCTCAGCCAAAATATGTAATGTGGCATAGCCGTTTCCCTGTCGTCACATTATGGGCGTCTACTTACGCCGTGAAAAAAGTTAAATCGTCTTTACTTTTCTGGTTAGTCGCAGCAGGACCGGTCGTTGTGTTAATCCCTGGGGGAGGCTTTTAGGAAACGAACGAACGAACCTAGTAACGAATTTATTAATGGATCGATCAAAAGAGTAGGCACGTATAGATCACTAGCTAGAATTTTTTCCAAAGCGAAACTCCTAATAGACGCTAATGAGGTCTTAATGATTCCTGGATACGGAAATAAATGGGCCACAAGACCCGACGTTGATAACGTCCACTTTTCGTTATGGTAGGTAGGTATCTATTAAATTTCAGCATATCCTAATACAAATAAATATGATTCGTTCCAAAACCAAATTATGCTTTATGTAATGTGAAGACAAGACCTAGTCAAATTGAGTTCTTCACTATTTTTATTGGCCCCACATCATTATAGGATTATTGATGTCTGCAGATCGGTTTATAAAGAAAAAGATGAAGAAAACTGAAGGAGATTATATGACAAAACAAAAAACAGGACCCAGGTCCTGCAGCATAATAAGGTTCATTTTTAATCACGGGCGAGTGTTACTAACTGCTAACTATATTAGTTANCGGTCATAATATTGTGTCCATAAATACTTTGGCTGACTTAGCTCTACTAATTTGCCGAGATCTACGAGTACGAGCTAGGTTTAATGGTTTAGTGGGTACGCTTAGAGCTTAGACTGACACCCTGCCAAGTTTTTGTCGATCACTCGTGCGTGACGAGAAACCCACATAATCCTGTGTCCCTCATCAGGGTAAAGGGTGTGCAAAACATTTTCTAAAGTGCAAAAAAGAACCATAATAAAATCAATGACGATCGTAAATTATTTGCGGGGGTTATCGCGTGAATGCGGCGGTGATCGGTCACGCGATAACTGCTGTCAACTTGAAAACTTTCCATTTTTCGATTACAAACGCCTAAGGGTAGGCGAGGTGTTGGAAAGGAAATCTTTTTAAAGTTGGTGTTTTGGTGATCGTAATTTATAAGATCGGTACCTAAATGGTAGGTAATTTTATGTGCATAGTTGATAATCTGATTGATACACAGATCTACTATTTCGACATTCTGGTGAAGAATTCTGTGGAGGACAGCACCTAGTGTAGATCTACTTTAGTAGAATAGGTATACATAAAGTAGGTACTAGAATTAACTGGTGTTATTTTTTATTCTAAAGAGATCTAGAATAAAAGCATTGAAGCACTTTATATCGGACGTGCTTCGAGTTCGAGCTTCGCCTTATCGGGTGAACAACTTATTGCTTGAACTGGAACCGATAGCATCTTGAAACTTGCTTATCCGGGAAGTCAGCGTACCTCTGTTGAAAAAATCCGTAAAAATACAATAAAAGTAAATTCCCACAGGAAATGCACTAACCCAATTGGCCCGGGGCGGGGGGACCAGTCGGTTATGTGAGGCTCAGTCGCCTCCTTCTGCGAGGAGGTCATCCTTCAGAAGGAGGCAGCGGAGCGCGAGCGGGAGAACGATCCTCTCGCCCCATCGCTCCGCAGGCGGAGAAGGGGGTGGAGAAGGCGCATGTACGACCGTTCAACTCTCCCCCCCAGGTGGCGGCCAGCAGGCCGGGGGTGCGCGAGCACCTTTGCCACCTCCGTCTGACGGCGACTTGGCGTTTCGGGCCATTCCCGTCGGCCCCCCACAAGGGGGGCGTGTAGGGTCCGCCATGTAGGCAGGCTGTCGCCGGTGGTGTCGCGGAAGTCTAAGGCTACGACCGGATACTCGCGAGCGCGACCCCCCACTCGGGTGATGACGCAACGTCGTGGAGGTTTTAGTGGGTCTACCCCGTCCCCGCTTGGCTCTCCCTGCTGGATCTCCAGCGGCTATTTTGTGCGGCGATAACTCTTCACGCCATAACTCTACATATTTTATACCTCAGCCAAAATATGTGATGTGGCATGGCCGTTTCCCTGTCGTTACATGCGTAGGTGAAAAAAGTTAAATCATAATTACTTTTCCTTGGAGGAGGCCTTTGTCCATCAGTGGACGTCTTCTAGCTGAAACGAACGAACGAACCTAGAAACGAATTTATTCATGAATTGATCAAAAGAGTAGGCACGTATAGATCACTAAGTAGCTAGATTTTTTTCCGAAGCGAAAGTCTTAATGGACGCTAATGAGGTCTTAATGATTCCTGAAAACGGAAATAAATGGGCCACAAGACTAAGACCCGACGTTGATAATGTCCACTTTTGGTAGGTAGGTTAGGCTGAAGACGGATTTATGACAAAACAAAAAACAGGACCGGCTATTAAGACAAACCTAAAAACAAGACCCGGGTCCTGGAGCATTATAAAGTTCATTTTTAATCACGGGCGAGTGTTACTAACTGCTAACTTTATTAGTTAGACCATTCTGGTGCAGTGGGCGGGCAAAAAATCGTAGCCAAAGTTAACGCAAGTGTATCACGCACTGTGGGCCGTTTCACGTGTCAGCTGCATCGCGCATTAGGTCAAGGACTATGCACAATCCGCAGTGTTTTGTATTGACGCATAATAAGCATTTTGGACAAAGCTCAGAAAGCTCTACTTACCAAAAAGAGTTTCATATTTTCCTTTTTTGAGTAGATTTATGTTGTATGGTCCCGTAATGCCTTTTTTCTTCGCGATTTCGAATAAGGACTTCATGTTTTAAAGAATTTGAGTCTTGTTGTTACTAGTGATTTTAATTTTAGTTTAATTATTTTCAGATATCATCCTTGGAAGAAATAATGTCGGCCTGTGACTGAGATTAAGTTACCAACTTTGCTGAAAGGCAAAGTATGTGATTTCGAAATGTTTTTACTTCATATTAAAGGTAATTATTATTGTGGAAACAATTACAATAATCTTATTGAGTATTGAATTATCGGAATGCTTAAATTAAGTAAGTTTTTTTTAATTTACAATTTATCGTAGTATTTATATTTATTGTAAAAAAAGTAAGTACGTAGCGGTTAACATTTATTTATCGCTTACAGAATTAATTAGATTTATCGAGTGAGATTGTAGTACAAAATAAATAAATATTGTTTGATAACAATGAAAACTATTTCAAATAAAAGCGGTATAAAGTATATTCTGCTGCCTAAAATAATTTTAAGAAAGCAACTTCGTATGACAGCAGCTGTCAAAATGACAGTATTTGACTGACGCTAGCTAGCCAGCTGATGCTTTTTTGATAAAAATCCAAAACAAACAAAAAATCGCGTTTTGAATTCAAACCCCGATAGATTTTTATAATTGTGGTAATTCTATGTAAGCTTGCAATTTTTTGTTTACTTAACTGACATCTATTTTGTGGCACTGTAAGTTTAATTGTAATGTGACTCCAAAATTCACCCCTTCACCCGAAAATATTTATCAGTAATCTATATATTTCGCTTCCAGATAATATAAAAAAGTTCGGAATGTCCAGATTCAGGTTTGGAAGACAGCACGAGGGTTATCGACTGGTGTCGAGTGACGACAGTGGGTTCTCAGACGCACAATTTGAAGTACCACCTCCGAAAGTACCATGGAAAGCTATTAGTTTAGCAGCCTTTCTATTTAGCGTTGGCACTGTACTACTAGTTATGGGCAGTCTGATAGTAACTGGCCATATAGACACTAAGTATTCTGACCGGCTTTGGCCGATGATAATTTTAGGTGGAATTATGTTTTTACCAGGTGCTTATCACATCAGGATAGCTTATTACGCTTATAAAGAATACCCAGGCTATAGTTTTACAGATATTCCAGAATTTGAGTAGTTTNAAAAGTTTTTATCAAGTTGTTAGTGGTTATTATGAATGTGATTCACAAAAGTAGTGACTTTTTATAAATACAGTTGTCAGCATATCAGCCAATGCATTTTTGCTGCAAAACAGCTACATAACTTTAGTCTGATATGCCAACATCTGTACAAAATTATTGGTCTATCTTCATCTAGGTTATCACTTCATCCTTTGATCGTTGACACAATGCATCTTTGAATATTTTTTTAAAAAGCTTAGGTGTGTGGATTTTGTATCATACCAAAGTATTACTACTTGTCACCTACAAAATTATGAATTTAATAAATCTGATTCTGATAATGCACTTGTGTTTTCTCTTAGAAAATAAAAGACAAAATAATTTATTAGGCATACTTTAATGACAGTGATCATAATTTTAATAAATAGATTGACAAAGTCACTTTACAACTTGTAGAGATTTGAAGAAAATCAGAATGATTCTCGATGATCAATTATACTTTTCACCCTATCTAAAATTCATTGCACGAGTTTACCTATTCGACCTCTTACCTTTTTTAGTCTGTGAAAAACTAGTTTGAGGGAGTGCGATCGAGTGTCCTGTCTTTTTTAGATGTTCAAACAATTTATTCTTTGATGGGAAGTCAGTTTGACAGACAGCACACCTAAGAGTGAGAGCAGTGCTTGAATCTTCTGTTTCACTTGCTTTTGGTCTAAGAGGCTTCCTATCCATTGTTTTTTTGGGTTTTACATTTCTTTGCATTTTAGGGAGGATGGGCCTGTCTTTGGGCAAAGCCGATTCCCCTACTAATGCATCATCAGTGGGTGTTGTACTGGAGACTTCATGTAGATTTTCTGTAGATGTTTGAGATTGAGATCCTTTTTTCAAGTTTGCTTCTTTCTTGGCTTGAATCTGACTCTTCAGCATATTAAACTTCTTGGCTTTCCTACTCCTTGAGGGTCCTTCTATTTCATTAAAGCTCATCTCATCATGGCTGTCATTGCCCTCACTTTCTGGCATTGGTATAAACGATTTTTTCTTGTTCTTCTTCTTTTTCTGACTCTTTGGAAGGGCCTGAAATACACAGTTATTTATATTAGTCATCATAACTACCTACATAGTTTAAATCAGTTGGACAATCACAGGATTTATAATCCAAGATTTATATCTGCCTATGTCCAAATTAATACAGCCCTTTAGGCAGCATTGCCAGTTTTTTTTTTCGCCAAGTCGGGACTTTGGTACTTTTTAAGTGAAAATAGCGGGACTCTTCCGTCAGAAGCGGGAAAAAAACGTATATAATCAAAGGTTTTCAAATATTTATCTTTTTATTTGACTTAAAATTACGTTTACGTGATATAATATATAGCAAAAGTAGCCATAGAAAATGTATTTTAACAAAAAAATAATATTTTAAATCAGATTTACTCTATCGTTAAATTCGTCTTTATGTTTTATTCTTTAGAATATATGTAAGCTTGCAAACAATAATTTAGTGAAGTAAGTCTCTCCGAAAAGCGGGACCGAGCCTGTCCCGCGCGGGACATTTAAATTTGATTTAAAAATCGGGACGTCCCGCCAAAATCGGGACGTCTGGCAACGCTGCCTTTAGGTCACAAATAAATAGGGCAAGATGATATTTAGATCGTATAAGCCATTAAATCTATATATATAAAAGAAAGTCGTGTTAGTTACTCCACTTATAACTCAAGAACGGCTGAACCGATTTAGCTGAAAATTGTCAGGGAAGTAGTTTAGAGCCAGGAGAAGGACATAGGATACTTTTTATCCCGTTATTTATTGCCACTAAGGCGGAACAAAGTTCGCCGGGTCAGCTAGTTTAAAATAAGTAACAAAATAACAAACCTGTATTTTATCGGAGTCATCACTCAAAGTTTCTCTTAAATCATTATCTTCAATATCTGAAGTAGAATTTTCTATTGGATCCTTATCAATATCCGGCTGGCCATTGACTTTAGTTTCATCTGCTACATTCTTCACTTCAACATTTTCTTCTTCTTCGTCATCATTGTCAGATAACCCTAAATCTTCCTCCATTGACATATTTGCAACATTCTCCTTATGTTTCTTACTATTTTCGTGATTTTCAAATGATTTGATATTCTTGAATAGTTTATTACATGCAGAACAGTATAGGTTCCTCATAGTTGATTTTGATTTTGTTGATGGTTTAGCTGTTGCCTTTGATGCTTCACTTGCCTGAAATAGATATAATTAGAGCATTATTATTTCTTTAGATTAAGGCCCAGAACACACGGTGAAACGCAATTGCAACGAAACTGCAACTTCTAGTTACTTTTGAGTTGCATCTAAGTCTCTGCCATAGATTCCGTTGAGAGACCACACATGACGCGACCATTTCCAACCGGTGTCAAACTGGTCGCGTCATGTGTGGTCTCTCAACGGAATATGTCTAAATTCGCTGATAAGATTTTATTATGGCGCGTATTTTATCCTGGCTGGTAGCATCATTCTCAAAAAGAAATAGCTTACCTCTTCAGTCTTAGAACTCTCTTCGTTACTACTCTCCATTCCTCCCTCACTGATGGTGTCGTCATCCGTTGACAACCCAAACTCTTCTGCCAGCAACGACTCAATCTCACTAAGTTTCTTTTGATATTCATCACTCTGAATGAAGGATGATTCACCCTCCTTTTTCTTTGCCTCCTCTATCTCTTTCTGCCTTTGTAATATCCTCTCCCTTCTCACTTGTTCTGCCTGAAAAGTATACAAATGTTTCTCTTTACATAGCTGACTTATGCTCTAATTATTGTTATGCTGGAATGGTGCATTAAACTAGAATATAAGTGAACATTGAGGATATACCATCCACATTTTTGTTATTAAGTTTTGGATGACACAATTGTAGAAACAATAACTACTAAGGTCAAGCAAAATAATAAGTTAACTAAGATACAATGTATTTACCTTTCTCTTATTCTCTTCAGCTTTCTCCTGAAGGAGCTTGGTATGCTCAATGACTCGCTTGTCCTTTCTGCGCACAAAGCTAACCAGCCGCCTGATCTCCTCATTTCTCTCTTTACGAGCCTTCTGTCTTATTTTGTTGTTTTCTTTCTCCATCAGCTTTATGACCCTACGGTTGTCACCTTGCTGTATTCCATATTGGTCTAACCATACATAACCTGAAAACAACATTGATAAATACAATAGGGATGTTTCCTGGGTCAAAAAGCAAGAGTTTTAATTAGTCCGTCAGTCCGTCAAAAAGCAAGAGTTTTAAGTGAAAAATACGTCTAGAGTATTTTTTGATAAGTTAATCAAAAAATACTCTAGACGTATTTTTCACTTTTTCAAACTAATGAAAATTTAAAGAGATAAAGCGCGCCAAAGTTCATAAGAAGAGGCCCGTGACGTCAATGCGTGCATAAAAGTGCCGGACGTTGTGACGTCGTGCGGAACTTCAACGCACCATAACTAAGTAATTATTTGTTAGATTGACAAATAAAAATATATGTGTCCAATATTTTTTGATATTAAACATGACGGACTAAAAAATTTTTTTTAGGAAACTATTTATTAAAATTATTCCCTTATCGTCCTTTTGAGTTCATAAAATTATCAGAGAAAACATGTCATTACATTTAGAACGATTCAATAAAGTATGAAAATCATACTTAACACTTACTTTTGTTAGTAGAGAAAGACATCCAATAGGCATAAAATTCATGGACCTCCTCATAAGGTGTTGAGGAATCACCAAACTTGGGAATTTTGTTCACATCCTCAGGATCGTCCAGGAAGTCTGTCTCCTCTGCAGCTAATTTTGTGAAAACCTGTAAGTATAAGCAAATGGAGTGTTATTATTTAATTGGTATAAAGTTATTTTAACAAGAGTTGTTAAACTTGATAATTACCTACAGATAGATAAAAAAAAAATTGGCACTTTTTTTTTGAAAATTTGATTTGAAAAAGTTGGTGTTTTCTTTAAAATGTCAATTGAATGTAATAATTACCTCAGAATATACTCCGTAGAATCCTTGTGGGTCATCACCAAACCCTTTATAGCAAGACGGAGTAAAGTAGGGATACACATCCAGGCTGTCATCATTGTAAGAGCTGCCCGCTCCTCTCAGGAGCTGCTCCCGGTGGTTATCATACCTGAAAAATGCAAGATAAATAGTTAAATATAACTTCTGATTGTGATATTAAATAGTAATCTTTTAAATGACAAAATAAACAAAGTTTTACAATAAGTTTGATTATAATAAAGGTAACAGAACAAAAGCACTGTCACCATTTAAAATATAATTTCAATGCAACAAATATTATGATGCAACCATTATTATGTACCTATTCTCATTTCAGAGCCAAGATTTTGATACATTGAAATAGTTTAAAAATCTCTACAATGCAGTGTACAAAATTAGGAATGAGAATAAAAAAGGATACAAAAAGCATTATATTACTTACCAGGCTCTTTCTTGAGGATCAGAAAGTACTTCGTATGCATTTTGAACAAGTTGAAATTGCTCTTTCGCCTCCTGCAGGTTGTCTAAGTTTTTATCTGGATGCCATTGCAGAGCCATACGACGATACGCCTTCTTGATCTCCGTCGCCCCTGCCTCCTTCGCCACATTTAGAACTTCGTAGTGACACTTCATTTCAAAAGAACATTATTTTATGTGTAAACTTTGAAAAAAATTCACAGCACTCACAGCCTGGATTTTTTGCGAACTATAACCTGGTAATAGCTAAGTAAGATTTTTACACGCCAATTAAAACATCAAAGGCAAAAACTTTAACTTTATTAGATCAGCGGTAAAAAGGAACTTTATTTATGCATGGTTTTACTGAAAATTAATATCGATCTATTTTGAAGATTTCAGCGAAAAAGACACGACGTCCATGCTGTTTTATTTTTTAATGTGTGTTGCCAGTTTAATACCAACAAGTACCCTTTTAGTAAAAAGACAAGTGGGTAGTTTTTTCCGTTCCGTTCCACGCAGTTATATGCAAATGATACGAACAATTTTGAAGTAAACTGGTAAACTTTCCGAGTTTGAGTTTTGACATTATAGCCTGACCAGGAACATAAAAACCCTCGCCATGTTGCGGAAAACTAATGGTACTGATTTCTTTTAATGGCAACAGTAACTGAAAAAGGGAATCAGGTATATTTTAAAGTAAAAATGCGAAATAATTTCAACAGACTTGTGTACTGATCGAATCCAACCGACGGAGAGTAAAACAAAAGAATGCCGTATGATTTTTCACTGTCACAATATCCAAATAGGTTTTATATCACTAGCGATCGCGAACATGCCCCCGCGCGTTGAAGGCTCGTCCATCAACCGAAACGTCTTCTTCTGGGAGCAACGGAACAATCTTGCTGAAGCTATGCCGTACGACGCCGTTCGCAGTCCGTATGTCAGCGACGCGACATATACCATCACTGGCTCCAGGAAAGACTTTTACAATACGCCCAAGTTTCCATTTTAGAGGTGGAAGTCCATCTTCTTTCAGCAAAACAAGCGTGTCGACTTCTAGGGAGTACTTGCATGAATGCCATTTNGAGATTTTGTCAATAGACATTCCGTAAAAACGTATGATAATTACGATGATATAAGTCAAAAGAAGCTATAACAATAAATTATATGACTAAAATCATTTCGAAATCTGCCAAATTCTTGATTTCTGCATGAAAAATGTGACAACGCTCTTAACCAGTGTCAGATACATTTTCACAGTAGCTGTACTATTATTATACGCACTGTAAAGGAATGGACTCTTTTTCCGTTCCTGTCCACCTATAAAACTTTAATATTGTTTAAACTTTAAACTATAATTTTGTCAAAATTTTTATAACACGGATTGTATTCGAGGTACCTAACTATGTATGTCAAAACTTACATTACATTTATGCATAAATGTATCTTTCTGTGACTGTCGCTGTGGAAAGGGAGTTTGCTTATCCTAAAATCGATGCCTCCTAAGTAAATAATCGTAAGCCACAAAATATCAATTTTGATTTTATAAGCATTTTATAATTACTAAAATACGTATTATCGAACCCGCGAACAAAAATTGCAATATCATTTAAAATAAAAGNTACATAAAGTTAGCCAATTAATTTAACACAGGTACGACTGTACGCAGTGTTGCACTATCAAATGCAATTGTCGCGCCACTATGCCAGGGTTTTTATGTTCCTGGTCAGGCTATAAAACACTTACTCCATTCCAGTAGATAACAATTTTATTATATTCAGTAAGTCTTGCTACGTAAAAATTACTGAAATAAATATAAAATTAATACACTTTGTTTTCAAAAATTAGATAAGCCATTGACTCTTCTAATAAAACTTTATATAGCCTGACCAGGAACATAAAAACCCTGGCATAGAGGCGCTTCAATTGCATTTGATAGTGCAACACTGAGTACAGTCGTACAAATGTGTTAAATTAATAGGCTAAATTTATGTATCAGGATTCAGGATTACGGGCTAATTTGATATTTTCATAAATTAACGAAAAAATATTATTATAGGTAACCTGGNTAACGATACATAACAGTATCCACCTGGTTGAAGTCGAATTACCAGGCCAGAGCCCCGATTACGGTAACTTTTAACGTCTACAATCCAGACGCGTTTCTGATTCTGCAATACGATTGGTCAAAACAGCTGACGTACGCTGTTGAACGACCAATCGTATCGCAGAATCGAGAAGCGTGTCTGGATTGTTGACGTTAAAAATTACCGTAATCGGGGCTCAGGAAGGATTAAATTAAAAAAAAAAAAAACTTCATTGACATGTCACCATGCATGTCAGTCTATTGCTGTCAAAGTGTAAACAAACTTTATTTTAAATGTGCGCAATTGATTTTGTGAATAAAATTGCTAAAATCTGTTTATAGTCGTGAAAGAAAAGTGGTTCACAATGTGTTAAAGTATTTGTCGAAGAGAAATACCAAGGGTTCGGACAATATTTTCATTGAATAATGTTTCCGACAAAGGTTGTCAAATTGACTGACATGTTTATCGTATAGTACAGTCCACTATGAAAATTAGCTGTGGTTTGTTTCAACTACCTATTTTAAATAAAGGTAACCTGGTTTAAATAAATTAAATGAAACCATCAATCGAGCTAGTAGGATTTATTTTATTATTCATCAATAATCAAATTCAGAACTTGAATATTCAACTGCAATGTCTGCTCATGAACGCTTCAAACTCGGTACTTCTTTCCCAATTCCATAAAATTCAAAAAAGAAAGTGACAAAAAACTTTAAAATAGGTAGTTGAAACAGACTACAGCTAATTTTCATAGTGGACTGTACTATACGATAAACATGTCAGTCAATTTGACAACCTTTGTCGGAAACATTATTCAATGAAAATATTGTCCGAACCCTTAATATTTCTCTTCGACAAATACATTAACACATCGTGAACCACTTTTCTTTCACGACTATAAAAATATTTTAGCAATTTAATTCACAAAATCAATTGCAAACATTTAAAATAAAGTTTGTTTACACTTTGACAACAATAGACTGACATGCAAGGTGACATGTAAATGAAGTTTTCAGTTACTGTTGCCATTAAAAGAAATTAGTACCATTAGTTTTCCGCAACATGGCGAGGGTTTTTATGTTCCTGGTCAGGCTATACTAGTACGAAGCCTAATTTATTTATGAATTCCTAAGAACGTATACATGATTGTTTTGAACATTTAATTTTGCTTTACTGGTACTTTTACCTTTAATTTGTGGAAATTTCTTCATATGACAACACTGAAAAGAATAAACGTCAAAACGTTTTGTATCTGCTTTAAATTTAATATTTTGACAATGCGTTTAGTTGTTATTTGAAACTATTGTAATTAATTAATTATTTATAGGTAATAATTTATTGAATTTTAAATAATTACCTTTAAATAGTATAATTAATCATATTTTGTAATAAGGATTACACTATTCCTTTCAATATTTCCAAAATTTCTTACGAATTTAAAACCTTAATAAATTAAATTATACAAACTTAAAGTAGATTCAATTACAAAAGATACCTAGGTTTAGGTAAGTACCTACCTACCTTACTGTTACCTACCGAGAAGTGTAATTTTTGAGCCAATAGGCTGTTTATTCCTCATGGATTTAACAAACAGTACCACGATCCAATTAGGTACCAAGGAATGTAGAGAGGCTAATGATGACCAACAAGTTATTGTATTCAAGGAATGGTGAAGTTGGTACAGTAGCTGTGATCCTACTTATGATGGTAGGTGGTAGATGGAGGCACAGAGGCGTCGTGACTACGGAGACGGGGCTTCATCGCGAGAGTTTTAGTTTGATAATAAATTAAAATACAGTAAGAAATAAGGATAAAATGGGGTCTATGAAAAGAAACCCTGAACCCACAAGGGGGGTATGGTGGGACCGCGGATAAAAGGGGGAAACACATAAGTACCTACTAAGTAGGTACTTTATGTGACTTGAGTACTTAGCTGGAGCATCTGATTTATTTATTAATACCTAAATTAATACCTATATCATTTAATTTAAATACAAGCACTGCAGTGACTTTCTAGGGCCATAGCTTTGGAATCGTTGATTATATTTTCCAAGAAACGCCATCAGTCAGTCTGCAGCTTTTACCAGCTTCCCTCGTGACGGACAGAACTTTGAATTAATTTTGCGAAAGATAATTACGCAAAAATGGCTCAGGGCTATGAACAGTGAGCAAGCCCCTAAAACCTTAAAGGAAACCTTAAAAAACCCATTTGCATTCCTCAGCATAATTTAGTTCTAATTGGACCTAAAGTTTATTCCGTTTTAGGTAAATGCCGATACCTTTGACACAAAGTTACACGTTATTCATGGACTATCTTTTGATAGATGACCCGTTTGATATAATCTACCGTTTTTAAATTAATTTTAAAGTGTGCCAGAACCGTGGAAGGTATGACAAAAGGCAAAGTACCTAATTGGTGATAAATATTTTATAGGTACCTAAGTATTTAAGGAGTTTCAAAAAACACGAAAAAATAATTTACGGTCATTTTTATTTGCATATTTAGGTACAGATTAATTTACAATCAACATAAACATTGGAATATAATTATTCCTGATCAATTTTGCTTGCCGATGTTTCGTAATAAATGAAGGGGCGTTTGTTAAATCTCATAGAGAGCATGGAAGACCACCTCTTTGGCCTGCTTCGTTCTCGGATCATGTCTTCGTCCATAGCATCCTGTGGGATTTGAAATTATTTTAATATTGACCTAAAGTGGCAGAACTACTACAACTTGACTGCTGACCTAAGAACTTGATTGATAAGGAAGTCAGTTTATGAAAGAATCTCACTGATAAAATAGGCACAGTAATAATTACCAGGGTAAGTTTTCTTAAGCAAAATTAAAGAAAATCTAACTGGAAATGGGGCAAACCCTGAACCAGAAGCAGTCGGTATTGGTATTACTGTATTGTTGGAATAAGTTGCAAGAAAAGGCAAAATAATTAATTAAACTAATTTATTCATATAGCATTAGAAGAAGTTATACACGAAAAATCATAATTATGTATCATTTTAGCCTTCGCAATTGAATAACATTAAACATTAACGCGAAATCAATAACTAAGATTAAGAGTATCTACAAAAACTCAACAACTGAGACAAACATCTAATCTGTAGCAATAACTAAAACTAATAAACCCTACGAAATAGACGCTTGAGATTGAGTGCTAGAATCTGTCGAATCTTCCTGAAGAAGTCTGAATGTCAATTCCTGCAGAAAGTTAAAAATAGGTTAGATTGTAATTACTTTGTAAGTAGGTACCTGATACCTGTTAGGTATCAGGAAGAAGCTTTTTTTTAAAGTTTGGGAGGCCCGATGTTCGCATATAATGTAAACATCAGACCTGAGGACCGTCTCCAATCTTCCTCCTCCCAGTGAAGAAAATTTCTTCCCTAGTCACCTATTACGAAATTAATAGGGAGATTGGGTGCGGTCCTATTCTAGGTACTCATAGCTATTCTGATCTAATCCGACGACTGTAGCTACTCCTCGTTAAGATCCTGGCGGGGGCCCAGCTCCTTGGCAGTGGCCTATGTCTGTATGTATAAGGTTCTAACCACTTCGCTCTTGAAGCGCCCTCAGCTCCACTTGGGGTTCCAGCCACTCCTCGTACAGGAACTAGCGGGGTCCCAGCTCCTTGAGACTAAATGGATTAATGTGTCCTAAGTGTGTATTGTATAAGGTTCACTTCGCTTTCGAAGCGCCCCCGCTGGGCGCGGAAGATGACCGGCGGCGGCTGCGTCTCCACTTGGGGGTTCCAGCCACTCCTCGTACAGGTCCTGGATGGGCCCAACTCCTCCGAGGTGGTGCGATAATGTGTCCTAAGTCTGTATGTATAAGGTTCTAACCACTTCGCTCTCGCAGCGCCCCCGCGAGGCGCGAAAGATGATCGTCGGCGGGGACCAGCTCCTTCAGGCTAAATGGAATAATGTGTCCTACTTAAGTGTGTATGTATGGAGTTCTAACCACCCGCAAGGTGTGGAAGATGACCAGCGACGGCTGTGGGTCCACTTGGGGCGGAGGTCAGCTCCTTCAGGCTTGATGGAATAATGTGATCTAAGTCTGTATGTATAAGGTGCTAACCACTTCGCTCTCGAAGCGCCCCCGCGAGGCGCAGACGGTGACCGACGGATGCGGCTCCAGGCTTGGGGGTTGGGGCTCTAGTCTCTCCTCGTACAGGCCCTGGATGGGCTCAACTCCTCCGACGTGGTGCGATAATGTGTCCTAAGACTGTGTGTATAAGGTTCTAACCACTTCGCTCTCGAAGCGCTCCCGCGAGGCGCGAAAGATGACCGTCGGCGGTTGTGGCTCCACTTGGAGGTTCCAGCCACTCCTCGTACAGGTCCTGTCGGGGGTCCTTCTCAGGCTTGATGGAATAATGTGATCTAAGTCTGTATGTATAAGGTTCTAACCACTTCGCTCTCGAAGCGCCCCCGCGAGGCGCGGACGGTGACCGGCATGCGGGTGACGACGGAGGGTGCCGGTGGCGGCTGCGGCTCTACTTGGGGTTCTAGCCACTCTTCGTACAAGTCCTGTCGAGGGCCTAACTCCTTCTCGGGCGCGGTGCGGCAGTTCTCGATTATCCATTTCTGCTCGCGGATCGATGGCGATCTGTTGACGAAGTTGAAAGATTTGACAATTCAAAGTAGGTATCTGAAAAATGAGTTTACATAAATGAACTTTGTTGCAAATTGACAAGATTGGATAGATGGAAATTGTTTGAGGAAGGGTTCTGTCACAGAGATCCCTAATATGGCAATTATCCCTACCGATTGGAATAATCAGTAACAATTAAGAAATAATTTCACGACGCGAAAGAGTGCGAATTCAGTTTAAAACGGGTGCGAGTAATCGAGAGTCCAATTAACACGGCAATTAACGAGTTTTGGCGCTCACTAATTAAAGTCATACACGGCCCTTATTGGGAATTTGATTCGATTTTTGACACGCGTAGTGCAGATTCGCGGAAAATCTCCCAATTTCAATTAACTGTCGAGTACCTGCTATTAATTGAGCAATTTAATCAGGATGTCACCGTTAATGAAATGCTTGTAAATTCGGACAGAAATTAAAAATAAATGAGGACAGGTCTCAATTTTTGACGATGCAAACGAGAGTTACACGTTTTGACTGCCTATAAAAACATATCGCAATGAGTGCTATCGTTTTCACACATAATTGAAGGCACCACTGGCAAGTGACAGGACCTTACTCTACAGTAGCGCCAACGAGTGCTAAGACGCTAGCCCTCAGTCACTGCAGGTCACTTCCAACCAGGAACCTATGTTCAGGATGTGTGATGTTTACCTGATGATGGCCGACAGATCAGTGGCTTTATACACAACTTTGGTCTTGGGATCGTAGAAGCCGTCGCCGGTATCGTAGTAACCCGGCGGGATCTCCCGCGTGGGCTGGTCAGCGGTGAGGTACGACAGTCCTGAAGGCTGCAGGCCCTCCTCATATTCTATGGTGAACCTGGATTGAAATAAAAAATGTATGTATTATGTAAGGTAGCAACAAGACATCGTAAACGTAGATTTATTTTTAAGTAGGTTCTTCTGATGGATTCTGATGTGCTGTTGTGTAATAGTTTCTAATAGTGGTGTCGATTTTGTGAATACCAAAAATTTATTACCCCATGAAACTCACACCATTATAGTTTGAAAAGGAGTTCAATGTTGTAATAAAATAAAATATATTTTTATTTCCCTTGCAACACTGGGATCATAATAACAAATGGAAAAAATTAAGTAACTTGCTATTTAGGACAATGTTTACCTAAGTAACAAGACTTACTAAGTACGAATACAGTAGTCGCGAAAAAGTTTCCATCACCCCATACAAATGATAGCTCTACTAACTTCGACGACTATGTAAGGACCATTTCATCTCGTTTTACGATTTTGTTGATGCTCCCACAGTAAAAGTTCGCTTTGATGATTACACTCGACCTAAAATATAGCTGGGGATTAAATCGCTTTCCGTGTGATATTTATAATTGAAACGAAAATAAATAAATCATATAAACTGGTGACAAAATACCAGAGTTCAAAAGAAAATTGCACGCAATAGAGAGCGATTTCATTCTTTCTTTTCCAGACGCTTTTCCAGCAAAATTTTTTGCGTATCATTGGTCGATGCTTTAATTAACATTTGGTAACCGAAATTCAAATCCAGTAACAAAATAAAAACAACGAAAATACGATTTACTATTTGCTCATTATTAATTGTGCACATCATCAAATTTTTCACAACGAAGCGGTGTTTATTCGTGGGCTTTTCATTTCGTTAAATATGAGTGACTAAATATTGAGGTAGCTTAATAATCCCATTTTTCGGTTGAAACAAAGAACCCAGACGGGCGTGTTGAAAAAGGGTTTATTAAAATGTCGCGCTTACACACTTAATCCCCGTATTACTAAGTACCCAAAGTGTGAGCAATTAGCATTTGAATTGAGCTTATGAGTCTTTCTGATGTAGGTATCATGAAAAAGGATAACATTACGATTCCTTCAAGAGGTAATAAAGAATATACATTTTTAATGCAAGTAATATCGTAAGAGTTTTCTAACCCGAATAATGTAGATAGAACGTTATTCTTGCGTGTACCTACATTCGCTCAGAGTTCATAATATAGGTTTTTACAACATCGTAAATACTACAAAAATATTAAATTGATATACTGTATTTTTATTGTGCGTAATTTAATTTGTTTTTTGATGTAGAAGGTAAGTAAATAAACTCCATTTATAACGAAAAATTATAGTGAAACGTTTCGAAGCAAACAATTTATGCTAACCATTTACAAGGCGCGATGAGAAGTTATTTTCAGAAGACTACATTTACTAATTTAACATCCAAATGCGGGGTAAATAATTTAGTAGGTATTTCTTTTCACAAAAGAGCTTTCTTCAGAAAATGTGTACGTAAAAATATTCAGTTTTCTGTAACTTCATAAATAGGTTAGGTTTAATTGATGACCTACATACAGTCTTGAATATTGCTAAGAACAAAAATTACATGAATAATTTTCATTTATAACTTCTGCAGCCTTTCGTTCCGTAATAGAATTGACTTTATCAAAGCTCGCTGTTAGTTTTCAGTTCATTCATGCAGATTGAATCGGCGGCTCTAAATATTTTACACCACGAGCGGACTATTGGGCGACGCAATCAATTCTTGGATTGATGTTGACTCTACAGCGACTCTACAGCGACTCTACAGCTTTTAAAAAGCAAAAGGCTTTTAGCGGTGTAATAAACTTGTGCCTTGTACATATTAAAGGCCCGCATATTTACGACATGTGACGTGAAATGACATTAGTACTCTCAGTCCCCAGTTCGTACATTAGGGAGCTAAATTCCATATTTAATTCAATTCCGTGAATGCTAGGCCATTAGCGAGTCGCCGTGAACATGCCGCTATAAAACCTACATTACGCATTTAATTTTTGACTGTAAGGATTATTTTGTAAATAAGTAAAGTCTAAAAGAGCAAAGGATTGTTAATTAATTAATTACACTATTAGAGCGGCAAAAAGCTCATTTTGCAACTTATAATGATGTTATTTGCCATCTACGGTCTTCAACTAACCTAAACTTAGTAGATTAGACGACTAAATAAATAACGGACTAGATACTTACTTAAATACCGACATAGGAATACTTAAGCCATAGCGTCCAATTATTTGTTCTCGCGGGATTCAAACTAGCGACCACTTTGTGGTCCGATATGCAAACCACTACACTAGACCAGGCAGACTCCGTAAGTTGTTCAAGTAATGGACCGTTTACGATAAACATAAGCCATCCGTTAGACGAGATTAATAAAAAGTGGCTTGAAAAAGCAGTAAAGCTTTACCAAGAAAATTTACATTGGCGGAAATATGGAATTCATAGTATACACTCAAAACGATGGATAGCTGAGCTTTTTCATTTTAAAAATAACTCGAGGAAACTTTTGTATAGTAATTGAAACAGAAAAACAATTTATAGTGAGTTAAGTTAATCTTCTTATTGGTTATGATGTTCGTAACTTTTTAGTATACCTAGCAGCTTAGAGCAGTAACTTTTGCTTGTTTAAAGTAGTTATCCGCAAATTGATGTATCAATTACTCACTGAGTGTAGCGGAATCAAGAATAAAAGAGGTCGGAACAAACTTTCCTTGATTTGGGATCGTACCCTAAACTTTGCGAGGATTTATTCAAATTAAAAATTACCATTACCTGAATGATACGAAAATGCGTCCCTTTGGATACCTTTTTATGGATTGAGACAAAGTTAACTTGACACTTTAATCTTATCTCTAAAAGGTAAACATTGTTTGCGGTAGCTTTTTACTTTATTGCAAACATTTTGGAGTTACTTCAGAAACGGATGGAAAATGAAAGAGCATATTTTATTTTTTTAACTTGTGACGGGGTTATTGCACAGGATAGGCTTTTTAGTCATTTAAAATATTATGTTTATTAGAGCAGGACTTTAAGCTTCTTTTTTTCTATTGCAGCATGACAAAGTAATCATGTCAGTGGAAATAATAGTGACCATTGTAAAGCTTTTCTATCTGAAATATTTCTTGATTTGGTATAGTTTTTTAACAGATAGTAGAGCAGTGAACAGTCAGAAGAACAGTGTACTGACCTCCGGCATGCGGCAGTACTTCCAATCGTCATTGGTGTACTCCAGCCCATCAGCAACCATCAGCGTCCGCTCCGTCAGCAGCTCACGCTTCTACTTACCCCGCAAGATGGCCCCACGTAGGCACCGCAGCACAACAGTGTACTAACCTCCTATCAGGCATGCGGCAGTACTTCCAGTCGTCGTCGCTGTACTCCAGTCCGTCAGCGAACATCAGCGTCCGCTTCGTCAGCAGCCCACGCTTCTACTTACCCCGCAAGATGGCCCCACATAGGCACCGCAGCACAACAGTGTACTAACTTCCTATCAGGCATGCGGCAGTACTTCCAGTCGTCGTCACTGTACTCCAGTCCGTCAGCGAACATCAGAGTCCGTTCAGTCAGCAACCCGCGCTTCCACTTGCCCCGCAAGATGGCGCCGCACGGGTACCGCAGTTCTCCATTGCCGTGAAACATGCCGTCGTAGAATTCACCTTCATATATTACGTCTGATAAATAAAGAAAGAAGTATTAATTTTAAGTATCCGAGAGGCACAGGCCAATCATAAACCATAACTTGGAAACAACAACTAAAAAATTATGATTTTATTTTAAAAGTGTTTGAAAAACACTTAAAATTGCCTCATATTTGAACCTGTGACCTTTCGCTCACCCTATAGTATCCGACCTTTTGCATATTCAAATATTTATAGGATAACCTTTAAAACACATTTCTATAAAACCTTATGATACGTTTGTGTAACCAACAAAATAAAAAGAAATGTCCAAAACATTTTTGCTTTCAAAAATACTTTTATCGGGAGGTTAACTCATATTCAATTTACGACGACACTGTAAATCGTTTTTCATCCGATGTTCAGTTTTAGACAGTTTTTGTTCATCCTTTTACCTTTTACAATGTTGGTTAGTCTAAAGGTCAAAAAAGTTAAGGAGAAATAGGTGTAAAGTCGATGTTTTGTCAGTGACAGTTTTAGATCATCCTTTGTTACTTTTTATAATGTTGGTTGGTTTAAATGTGAAAGAAAGTTTACCATTGGGAAAAATGTACGTTCCATAGCCGCTCATCCCTAGAACGTCCCAAGTGCCTTCATACTGAGAGCCAGTTGGAAACTGCTTGACGGATCGAGGCACACGTGGTATGTCTACTGAGACTGACCTGAAAAGGAAACAGATATTATAAACTAGGTTCTACTATAAATCCTTGCGCATTTTTGGAGCATAATATAAGAGTGATCTAAGTTCTCTGAGAGTGTAATTTGAAAAGCGCGTGAGTCGTAGACTCATAGATCCTATACATTGTTTAACTCTTCTCCGTTTTCGTAACTATGCAGATGTACTTTCCAAACCTGAGGTTATTAAACATGATGCCTATTTTTTCATGAATTTACTTTGGGGTCAGTAAAGTTATTAAACTTGAATATAGGTTATAATAAAATGCGAGACGTTACCACTGGCCTCCTATTCCGAAATGAGTTGCCATTGAAATGGGTATTGGCACAATCTTAACATAAAAAGTAATATCACGAAAACGGGCCAGCAGCCAAATGCGTTGATATAGGGTAGGTAGGTAGAGTAACATTCTATTTTATAAAGGGATTTTAGATTTGGGTATTCCAATAACAAAAATGGAATAAATAATGCTGCGTCAAAATGAATGAAGTGAAAGTTGATGAATAAAAATGAAGCTTTACGAATATCAAATTTGGTTTTTAAAACGATAATGGCTGCAAATAAACCATTCCACTCATCTCTCAAAGGATTTAAACCAGAATACTTTGTCCCAGTCCCATATAGAAGCCCTTCTTATGCGCCCAATGTGTCGGTTATGGCACTTATGGCTAATAAAAACCATAACCCATGATTTACCGCTTCGATAAAACGTCTCGATCGGTGAAAGCTACAATATCCTTATATTCTAACACGACCGATTCAAAATAAGTGTGTCAAATATGTTTGCTCGAAAAGTAAAGTGCGGACAATATTGGAGCAGACCATATTGCCGCAAAGTTATGAACTTATTGAAATAAGCAAAGGTTGTACAAAATATTCGAAATAATATTAACTGTCAATTATTTTTTTCCTTTTAAGTATTTTTGGTTAAGTTTTCAAGTAAAAAGTGGTAAAATACTTATTATAGTTGAAGATGATCTCCATAGCAAAAATGTATGGCTCCATATATTATACGAAGAGTTCAAGAGTACTAAAAGTCAAACATAAATACAGTGTGAGTCACGTTAAAGTGTACATATGAAAATAGATGAAACTATACCTATTTTTATCGACAAAAAAGAGGTCAATTTTTTTTTGAGATTTAAAAAAAAATATATAGATTTTTTTTCTTCCTTTGATAGGGATAGAGACATGCGATTTTTGGTTTTATGAAGGTAATACGATAGAGAATAATACAAAGTAGTAAAAACCACCGGTTATAGGGGCATTTTTTGGAGAAATTTATCAAATAACCAAAAAAACACGAATTCAAAAGCAGCTTTTTTTCAAAAAGTATTATTTTTTATTATTTGTTGGCCTTTTTTGTGCATTTTATGTATTTTTTTAGTATCGCCTGTTATTTAGCATTATTACTGTTTTTATTTTATCAGGATATACCGCTTAGTTTAAAATTTATTACGTTTTCTTTACAATAAGTAATTGGAAGAAAAAAAATTCTATAAAAAATAAAAAAAAATCTCAAAAATTTTTTGACCTCTTTTTTGTCGATTAAAATAGGTCTAGTTTCATCTATTTTCATATGTACACTTTAACGTGACTCACACTGTATTGTGCAAGAATTTGTGGCCATTTTACGCTAACATTAATCAAGTATGATAAATGGTAGGTAAGTAAGTTGATTGTAAAACTTAGTACAAACAAAATTACAGATGACTTTTTGGATAGACAGATATGACAGCTAGGTATATGAGTTTAATTTACCTTTTAAATATTTTTACCAAGCGATTAATTGTATGCTTTTATTTTCATAGCTAATTCATGATCAAATCCAGTTGTTTCAAGGCGAAATAAATAGGTGACCTATTTCCCAGTCTCTAATTTGGTTGAACTGCAGTTACTCGGTTTATGTTTGTTAATAACTAAGAACTACTCACTTGCACTCTTCCCTGTGTGCCTCCGAAAACTTCCTCATTAGATCCTCCCATTGCGACACACGTTTCTCCGAAACTCTAATAAAACAAACATACAGACAACTTAGGTATACGTAGTGCAGAGTACGTAGTTAAAGTGCAAGAAAAGGTTGACTCTATAACATGCTGCTCAAAATCAATTTTCCAAAGACTGATGTCATTGTCTTAAAAATATATCTCTCAATGTGAACTTCTTCTATCAGAGATCGGAAATTTTAAAAGGAATTTGGCTATGGAAAAGACATTGTAAGTTTTTAAATAGCAGTTATTTTTTTCTACATAAAAGGAATGCCAAGAATGCATTTCCTGTTTAATACCTATGCTAGATCTTAATTTTGTTGCTCCAAATTATTGTTTTGTAACTGCTTACTAATTCGGTCTATCAATCGTTATGTTATATCTTTACGCAACTTGTTTTTACATCGTCTCGTTTTGATAACTTCTTTTAAAAAATTAGAGCAGTAAGTTAAACTTTTTCATTTTCCAAACTTGAAAAAATCTAATTGTCTGTGATGGAAATCAGACACACGACCCTATGTTTGCCCGACGACTTACGAGCTACTTCTCGTAGTACAATTCAGAGCCGTAAGAGCTAGTAAATAGTTGCAGTAATGCGGTGTCTAACAGTTAAGTGGTCTGTGAACAAGCAGCACGACTGCAGTTACAGAATCTAGAACTTTATTAATAAAGAAGTTTTGTATCTCTGCTCTAAGAGATCATAAGTTAGTGAATAGGGAAGAAACGTACAGCTGGGGAAACTACGTAGTGAGAATTTTAGATCAAGTAAGGTCAAACCGCAAATGTGAAAACATAGTTTATTTTGGACAAAAAAAATGCTTGCTGGTAGGTATTATAAAATGTAAAATAGTTCGTAGGTTTAAGTACTAGTGATCACTACAAATGTGAGCTTAAGACTAAAAAGAGATTTCATATTTAGCTGACTAGCCTACGCCTTCAATGTATGGCGCATTAAAACCTTAAACTGTCTAACCACTAGAATCACGCAACTGAAAACGATTCAACTTCCATCAAAATCCGAGTTCCAATCTCTGACAACTTTCACAATTTTTCAGAAAAGTTTCAACCCAACCACAAAATGAATAGGAGCTAAACTAGACCCGCAACGTGATTATAACAGAACTGCAATCCATTTATCGGAAAGTTTGCACTCACACAGAGCTCCCTTGGGACTTTGACATCGTTCCCGGCCCAGGTGCACTATCTGTAAATATAGAAAACACCAGTTTTGTAAGTTTATTTAACGAAGCTGGCTCCCGCCGACTTGCGTTATGTTGGAGAAACAACGTTCGATTTAATTTCCAATGTGGGTCTTATTTGCTTTGTAGACATTCTTCTATGGTTTGTTTTTTACAGATCTGTTGCAGTAATGAAATAGGTTGGTGAAAGTTTGTGTGTACCAATATTACCTACCCATTACTGTTTGGAGTATTTACTTTTTATTAGGTCAAAAGAAAACAGAATGAGATATTTCTTTGTATTCAAGCTTCGGGACTATTCCTACCTCTGGTTCCCACCTCCTGTAACGGTTGTATTTTAAGCTTGTAAGTATTGTAAAAAAAAACATTTAAAGTATAATTTGCAGAGTTGAATAATTGAAATGATACTTATTTAATGCTGATGAGAGTCGAACCAAACTAAATGGGACAATACTACAAGAAATTTTCATACAGAGATTTTTGCAAAGATAATTTGTTTTTTAAATTTATCAATTTCATAGATTCCTTCCATGACTACTTGACATTTATACCAGTTATTAATATTTTACAGTACCCATAGTTTAGTTTCAGATTATTTGTCACCAGTTGCAAACAAGACGAGGATCGCTCGTGTCTAATAAAGGAGAAATGCCCGTCCCATCATTATTCACGGGGGCTCGCACGGTCATGGTCAAACACGGCCATGAATTATTTATGGAAAGAGTGAAACCATCGCATGGGCCACAATGCATTTATTGCGTTTGAAGGGAAACATCCTGTTTTCTAAACATGTTAATATTTTGCTCTGCCAAAAGTATCTTTGAGAAACAAGTCAAATAGACGCTATTCTGAGTCTAGTGCTAACATTAGGCGATTCTGGTGTAATGTGGTAAGAAGATAAATAGTTAAATGGATGATGCTAAATACGGATTTCTGGGCTTCTTTCGCAGTGTAAGTACCTAAAGGTATACCAGGGGCACCAGGGCATACCTACCCAGTAGGCTTTCAGTAGCCTTATTCACGTAACAAAACTTCAAGGACAACAAATCGCTGAGTTGCGATCCTAACGAGTAATCGTTCTATAGAAATGAGCCTTGTGAATTGTGAATACGGATTTAGAACTGTTTTTCAATAGGACGACTTCTAAACGTCAACGAGATTTTGACTGTCAAAATACGTGAATGAGGCCGCTGGTCCTCGACTGTCCTTGGCATGACAAATCAAAAAGAAGAATCTTAGAAGAATCGTCTGACCAAAAGTTACTTACAATTATTGTGATATCAGTGTTCCGTATTTTTTTTATAAAAATATTTGCCTTATAAAAATTAAATCCGTTAAAACATTTTAACACTTAAAAATGTAAAAATCCCACGATTCTGAAACATCAAGTGGCAAAAACTCCTATCAAAATGGCAAATGACATTAATTTAGACATTACTTTTTTAAAACAATTGACGGCTATCAGACATCTTCGCGGTTGCAGGTTTTATTCCATATCTAAATAAAAAAGGTTTATTGGTATTTCAGTGGAAACAATAATTTAATTGTGGCCACTGAAATAAATTCAATAAACACGCAATAGAGGGCGTGTTGTTGTAAAAATGATCGTAAAATATCCATTAGGCCTTGCGGAATGAAAAATTTAAAATTCAACGTCTAATGAAAAAATAACAAACGATTAATGGGCTGTCGAAATGGGTGTGTTATAATATCAGCGTAAAGAATTTTTCTCAACCTAAATACTAAAATATTTGAGACAGGTGAAGAAAACGCATAGCGACACACGCGGGGCATTGTCTGCGTATGAATTGTTGAAACACATTAAATAATTAGTTACGTTGATTGTCCGCGATTCGTTCCAGAGAAAGTACCTATGACACGGGCGGGTCGACCATTTTAAGTTTAGCGCTTTAAAGTGCTCCACTGTGGGAAGTTCGCGCTTATTCTAACGTTAAAACACGGTCTCTTTTCAAAGCGACCGTATGCAGAAATAAGTCCATTTATTTGCTGGAACAAGGGACCCTCTGCATTTTAATATGCGAGATCTGAATGAAGTAAGGACCGAAGTGCATGGAGCTTCATCGCAAACAGAAAATCGGCGCTATGACGATGTGTATTGGATTCCTCCTTTTGTTCCCACATTTCGAGTGAAAATGAATTCGTTGGGACACTATGGTGGCCGTTTTATTTGAAATGGAAACAGTCCATTGCAGTACCGAGTGAGTTTAGAAGCTCGTTTTGGTTTTGTGAGCTTGCTCGAAATTTCTGCTCGTGTTCATAATAGTTTCTTTGTCAAACGAGGGTTGTAATTTGTGTTTGAAATGTATCTCCATGTTAGTGTATGTTCAGTATGTGTTCCGCATTTATTTTTATGTTTCTTTGTTTTTACAACATTAGTTATGTGTACAGGTTGTTACCACTTTTCCTTGGATATGTTTGAAACATAACTTTGACAATAACTTTTACGATCCATACTTGTAAATCTTAGCAAGTTGAGCAATAAAACAATTTTATTAGATCATTGCTGCGTAAAACAAAAGTGTTACAACGATGATAATCAAGACTTTTTATTTAATTAACGAGATGATAATGGTGATCCGCTATGGCGAACAATAGTTTGCACAACTGAGCCGCAGTCTCACGGCGACACTGCCCGTGCGCACGCGACTTTGAATCTTGATTTTGTTACATAAACCTACTAAATACAAACGGCTTGATATTATAACTTACGTATTGTATGCTTTTAATCTTGAAATCGATGCTATTCTTAAGCTCTTAGTCCTAATTTGATCTATGGAGATTTAAAGCTCTACAACGCGACGGTCTATTCACCTGGAATGCTTCTTATCTGTAGTAGTACCTAATAATTATAAGGCTCCCGGTGTACTTTTAGTGAACTTAGTTCTTGGAAACCTGGTGGAGGTTGATAGTGTCCTCATACATATAATAAGCCAAGCTTCTACATTAAGTTGAGCTTAACTAATTGATCGTTTCAAACTTAGAGTCTGAATACAATGATTAGGGCCTACATCGACACTCTATAAAAGCATCGCTAACAAAGCTCCGAAGAACAGAATAATTTATTTTCGAACAAATTAACGAAGCAACATCTAACAAACTGGAATTAATACACAAAGAAGAAAAATTACACCTAATAAGACTAAGAACTCACTCATTCAATCTACTAACGAGTTCCCGTCAACAATACCACCATATGCCTCCATATAGCCTGAATCCTGATTGAGGCTCCAGATGAAACATTAATAATTCATTGCCCCAATTACCGTGGCAATACATACGAGACAAGGTAAATAAGCAGCGCAATTAGGATATGTAAATGTTAACGTCACCGATACTAATTACACAGTATTGTAATTAATGAATCTGTTAAGATATAGATATCCCAATATCTGTTTGTAGACTGAAAAGCGCTACCAGGTGCTTTTCGATTTGTTATTTTTATTGTTATGTACTTTTATAATCTTATCCAATTGCTTTTAAAGGTAAGAAAGGAAACCTTCACCATCATTACAATAAAAAAACTAACCAAACAAACTTGTTTATCATAGAAAGCAAATAAAAGAGACGAACGTAGATGAAATTGATTTCAAAATGATCATCTGACAGGAAAAGTAATAATTAAGCTATCTCAGAATATTTGATGGTTTTTATTGTGCTTCGAAAAATATTTCAATTGCCATCAAACAGAGAAACGGTATCGCTCTGACAATGCAATTGTAAACAAGTTCAACTTTTGGACTATTTAGTCCCTTGAAGGCACGGAGCGTGACGGTACGGTACTCGAATTATTTTGCTTTATTTATACCGAATAAAAAGTCGCCGACAAATCACTTGAAGTCCCGTAATCTTTGCCGCTGCGGTTTTAGTCATTTCCGTCTAAATAAGGAATGTTGAAAAAAGTTAAAAAAAAACGCGTTAACGCCTCTTGTAGCGGTAAGTGCTAAGATTATGGTTTTGTCTACAAAGTTTAGTCAGCAGTGAAATTGCATTGTTAAATAGGTCAACAGAGTTTACACGTTTTTCATATTTACAGCTGTTTAGTTTAATTATTAGATAGTTGGATTATCTCGAGCTCTCAGGTTACTAAGGTCCGATTCGACCAAACTTTTATCCGAGAATAACTCATGGTATAACTGGCATATTGACAGTTTCACTGTGGGAAATATGTCAAAATGTCGATTAACGGATATTTATTCTGAGATTAAAATTACTCTTGTTTGGTCGAATCCATAAAAGATGTTCGGAAATGTCAGAATCCTTCAGTGGCTCATGAAAATTGACATATTACTATGACCACATGGTGAAAAAAAACAGCTGATCATAAAGTGTATACATCTCACTTAAATACTTTATTCTTCTAGTAAAGGCAGCAGCCAGTAGAGCCGTTCAATTTATGCATCCAATACACATTTACAGACGACAGCACATCAGACTAAACATTGTTATAGAAAAATGTTCCCCTTTACGACTACATAAGATGCCATAATGTCAGCTTGTTGTGCCGTCTTTATCTTGTATTGTTTGTGTTAGCGAGAAGTCAACACATGTTACTGCAGCTGTCTTCTGTTACTATCACTATTTTACAAAAGCATTTGAAATGTGACTAAGGAAATGGAATTTCGTTTTGTTTTTATTTGTTTGAATTGTGACTCTGAAAGAAACATTGTTTTAATAATAGATAGACTGCTAAAATATTTATTATGCGAAGCGTCACTTTTAGCACCAAAACTTGGCGTAGTTTGGAACATAGCCTCTTTAAAGAACTGGAACTTTTAGAGTCATCGACATAGCAAGTTTTAGCGTAGGTACTACGAGCTGAGAATAGTCGGAATTATGGTAATTAGTTGGCCAAAGAAAGAAACATTGTTTTAAAATAAATATTTAGGCTACAGAACCATTTATTCGTATTATTATTAAGCGTAACATCAGCTGTAGCGCCGAATTTTCTTGGCGCAGTTTGGAACTTTAAAGAACTGGAACTTACTAAGAAGTCGTCGACGTACAAGCCCTAAGTCTTGGCGTACTGTGAGCTGAAAATAGAATTATGGTAATTTGTTGACCAATGAAAGAAACCATCGTTTTAAAATAAAGTTTCTAAACCATTAATTAAGCGTCAGTTTTAGCGCCCAATTTACTTCGCATACCTAAAACTTTTGGAGCCTTGCCTCTTTAAACTGTAACTTATTAAGAAGTCGTCGACGTACAAGCCCTAAGTCTAGAAGTACTGCGAGCTGAGAATATTCGGAATTATGTTAATTGGGTCACGATCACGAACTAATAACAATGCGGCCACCGGGCATGAATCATGATGCTAATGAACCAGCCACCGGCCATGTTTTGTCATAATAGAGACATGGAACTGCTTACCTACAGGCATGTCTAATCAGTGTCTTGCAAGAACCTAAGTTATTAATTGCCTTATGTACTAATTTATATGGAATTATAGAATAAATAAATAAATAAATTCACAGTCATTAAAGTCCTGTAGCTTGTCACATTCATGCGTGAAAAAGTTACGGATACTTTTCAGTAATATGTGGTCACATCGTAGATTATTTATATTTCCAGAGAACCATCTCTTTGTTGACGATTAAGTATTATTATCTAGGTAGGCAAGTTATGAAATCAGACCTTATCATTTACGTGAGAGTGCTAATCTTAATCTGTCTGTGAGAGGATGCGAGCATATTTTGTTAGACTCCACATTTCAAAAATTATATGGAAAACAAATACTTATGCTTATATTTATTTTAAAAGCCGGAAAAGCATTTTAAGCCTTGTACCTACATAGCCATTCACCTAGTAACATACTCCTAGATATGCAACTAAAACAAACGGCAATGGTAATTCTAGATATCATTACGAGTTCCGTTGGGACATTAAGATAAATTGTGAAGTATTTCTTCAGATCTCGGAATAAACTTAAAAGTTGTTGTGTCGTTTAATTTATATTAACCCCGCTTGCTTATTAAGTTAGCGAAGTGAGTTTTGGCAGCGACAAGCAATTTTTAATGAAGTCCGAGATAAAACTTGGAGTTTATTAAAAGGAGTGGGTTTATGCAAAGGTACCGTTGGCACGGGGACAAGTTAGACGGACGATCTAATGGAGTGAGTGCTCAGGCACGCATCCAGGAGTTGGACAGTTTGGAAATTTTCCCAAAACTATTAACGGTAATAAACACTCCAGTTTGCATAGCGATTGCCGATTCAAATGGATTACCTAATACTGGGATTACCTAAATGTTAAGCAACGCAGGCCTTTTATTTATTAGACTTCACATAAAATATAACATGTTATTCGTTTTAAGTGGTCTCTTAAAGTCTTTTATCACTCTGTTAACAGTGTGGTAATAGATATAAAATAAAAAAAGA